CTGGCAGGTTGGGTCCCTTGGCTTGGCCTGCGGGGATTGGGCCGAAACCAGCTCTCCAACATACCCAGAGGGGTCCCGAAGTGTGAGAGGGCACTCTGGAAAGTCGCTGTCGTACTGGGTGTGAAACGCAAATCCAAGTGTACAGTAAACCAGATTTGGGGCCGACAGTACCCCAACAACATAACCCATGGCCGAAGGTGGAATTGTGCAGCCCCACAAGGAACTGGGCTCCCTTCTCTCTGATTTCATGGTGCATCACCCGAGAACCGCTACTGCCAAGTCACTGCAGCCTGGCAGCTCCTGCATTGAGCATCTGCCCCCTCGTGGTCAGTGCACATCATAGCAACCAGTCAGATGGGTGGAGGGACACTTAGCATATCAGCCTTTTATACATATAGATTATATATATAGATAGTGACTTTACAGAAAGAGAGATTTTAAAAAAATCCCATTTACCACTGCACCAAAAAAAAAAATCAAGATACCTAGGAATAAATTTAACTAAGGAGGTAAAAGACCTGTACTCAGAAAACTATAGGACACTGAAAAAAGAGATAGAGGAAGACATAAACAAATGGAAGAACATACCTTGTTCATGGATTGGTAGAATCAACATCATTAAAATGTCCATTACTACCCAAAGCAATCTATAGATTCAATGCACTGCCCATTAAAATACCAATGGCATATTTCACAGACTTAGAACAAACTCTCCAAAAATTCATCTGGAATAAAAAAAGACCTTGAATAGCTGCAGCAATCCTGAGAAAGAAGAACAAAGTAGGAGGGATCTCAATACCAGATATCAAGCTATATTACAAAGTCACTGTTCTCAAAACTGCCTGGTACTGGCACAAGAATAGATATATAGACCAATGGAATAGAACAGAAGACCCAGAAATCAACCCAAACCACTATGCTCAATTAATATTTGACAAAGGAGGCAAGAGCATACAATGGAGTCAAGAGAGCTCTTCAATAAATGGTGTTGGGAAAATTGGACACATACATACAAAAAAATGAAACTAGACCACCAACTTACACCATACACAAAAATAAACTCAAAATGGATAAAGGACTTACACGTAAGATGGGAAACCATAAAAATCTTAGCGGAATCCACAGGCAGCAAAATCTCAGATATATGCTGAAGCAGTATCATCACTGATACAGCTACTAGGGCAATGGAAACTAAAGAGAAAATAAACAAATAGGACTACATCAAAATAAAAAGCTTCTGCACAGCAAAACCATCAACAAAACAAGAAAGCCCACTGAATGAGAGAACATATTTGCCCATGTTATCTCTCTGATAAGGGTTTAATCTCCAACATTTACAGGGAACTCATACAACTTAACAAAAGGAATATAAACAACCCAAGCAAAAAATGGCAACGGACCTAAATAGATACTTTTTAAAAATATATATTTTTTATTGATTTTTTTACAGAGAGAAAGGGAGAGGGATAGAGAGTTAGAAACACCCATGAGAGAGAAACATGGATCAGCTGCCTCCTGCACACCCCCCACTGAGGATATGCCCGCAACCAAGGTACATGCCCTTGACCAAGATCGAACCGGGGACCCTTCAGTCTGCAGGCCGATGCTCTGTCCACTGAACCAAACCAGCCAGGGCCTAAATAGATACTTTTTGAAAGAGTTTGACATAAGGAAGGCCAAGAGACATATGAAAACATGCTCAAAGTCACTAATCACCCCAGAGATGCAAATCAAAACGACAATGAGGTACCATCTCACACCTGTCAGAATGGCTGTCATCAACAAATCAACAAATGACAAGTGCTGGAGAGGATGCAGAGAAAAAGAACCCTCGTGCACTGCTGGTGGGAATGCAGACTGGTGCAGCCACTGTGGAGAACAGTAAGGAATTTCCTCAAAAAACTAAAAATGGAACTCCCATTTGACCCAGTGATCCCACTTCTAGGAATATATCCCAAGAAACTAGAAACACCAATCAGAAAGGATATATGCACCCATTATGTTCATAGCAGCACAATTTACCATAGCTAAGATTTGGAAACAGCCTAAGTGCCCATCAGCAGATGAGTGGATTAAAAACTGTGGTACATCTACACAATGGAATACTACGCTGACGTAAAAAGGAAGGAACTCCTACCATTTGCAACAGCATGGATGGACCTGGAGAGCATTATGCTAAGTGAAATAAGTCAGTCAGAGAAAGATAAGTATCACATGCTCTCACTCATCTGTGGAATATAATGAACAACATACACACTGATGAACAAAAACAGATCCAGAGCCCTAGCCAGTTTGGCTCAGTGGATAGAGTGTCAGCCTAAGGACTGAAGGGTACCAGGATAGATTCTGGCCAGGGGCATATGCCCAGGTTGCGGGCTTGATCCCCAGTAGGGGGTGTGCAGGAGGCAGCCCATCAATGATTCTCTCTGATCATTGATGTTTCTTTCTCCCTCTCCCTCTCCCTTCCTCTCTGAAATTAGTAAAGATATATTTAAAAAAAAAAAAAAAAAAAAGATCCAGAGATAGAGAGCATCGATCAGACTGTCAAACCTCAGAGGGAAGGTAGGGGAGAGTGGGGGAAGGGGGAGAAATCAACCAAAGGACTTGTATGCATGCATATACCAGTAAGCCTAACCAATGGACACAGACACCAGGGGGTTGAGGACATGAGCGGGGGTGAGGGAGCAATGGGGGGATAGGGACACATATATAATGCCTTAATCAATAAAGAAAAAAAATTAAAATTAAAAAAATAATAATATTTGGGGGGAAAAAGCCTCAAGACCCTCTAGATGGGTCTAACAAAATCCTTAAAGATGGTCTATAAAATCTTTGGAAACTACTAATATACTCGCCCACAGGGATCTCTGGGATCACCTAGTCCAGTGGTCGGCAAACTGCGGCTCGCAAGCCACATGCGGCTCTTTGGCCCCTTGAGTGTGGCTCTTCCACAAAATACCGACTTCTGCGCACGAAGTTTCCATCGCACTGTACGTGCACGCCCGCACGTGGCATTTTGTGGAAGAGCCACACTCAAGGGGCCAAAGAGCTGCATGTGGCTCGCGAGCCACAGTTTGCCGACCACGGACCTAGTCCAGTGATGGCGAACCTTTTGAGCTCGGCGTGTCAGCATTTTGAAAAACCCTAACTTCACTCTGGTGCCGTGTCACATATAGAAATTTTTTGATATTTGCAACCATAGTAAAACAAAGACTTTTATTTTTGATATTTATTTTATATATTTAAATGCCATTTAACAAAGAAAAATCAACCAAAAAAATGAGTTCGCGTGTCACCTCTGACACGCGTGTCATAGGTTCGCCATCACTGAGTCTGTAACACTCATTCTGGTCCATCTTCATATACTTCCTTGTGCCCACATTTTGCCTCACGGAAAAAGCATCTCCCCGCCCACCTCCCCATGCGGCAGAACCCGGTAAAGATGGCTGGGAAGCTGCAAACACACAACATTGCCAACATCCATAACTGGATGGAGAACTTGCCTCCTCTCCTCCACACGCCCCCAGAGCCCGGAAAAGCCAAAAACACAGGGGAGGGGAGGTAGGAGGGAGTTCTGGGAACTCTCAAAACCAGTGCCACCCCACACTGCCCCACCATTACCAGGCCAGCCGGTCACATAGGGACTCCCACCATCAGGGCATTTTCGAGCAATCCCAGAGGGAAAGGAGAGCAGGTCAGAGAAAATAGGAACGTACCTACGGCACCACCTACAGGGCAAAAGGAAGTAAGCTACCTATCGGCCTGCAGAATTGCTCAGCAATTCACCTGTCGGTCATTAGCAAACCAACAAACAAGATCAGGTGAGGATGTGTAGAAAAGGGAAACCTCGCGCACAGATGGCGGAAATGCAGACTGAAGCAGCCGCTATGGAAACCAGTACGGAGGTTCTTCCAACAACTAAACACAGAACTACCAAACCACCTAGCGATCCCACGCCTGGGCGTTTTCCAAAGAAAACGAACTCTAATTCGAAAAGCTATCTGCACCCTACGATCACTGCAGCATTATTTACAATAGCCAAGATGTGGAAGCAACCTAGGTGAATGGATAAAGTGGTACATATATACAATGAAATGCTCCTCATAGGGAATAAATCTTGCCATTTGCAACAACATGGGTGGACCTAGGCAGTGATGGCGAACCGGTGACACGCGAACTCATTTTTTTGGTTGATTTTTCTTTGTTAAATGGCATTTAAATATATAAAATAAATATCAAAAATATAAGTCTTTATTTTACTATGGTTGCAAATATCAAAAAATTTCTATATGTGACACGGCACCAGAGTTAAGTTAGGGTTTTTTAAAATGCTGACACGGAGAGCTCAAAAGGTTCGCCATCACTGATAGAGGGTATTATGCTCAGTGAAATAAGTCAGAGGAAGACAAGTACCATATGATTTCACTTATGTGCGGAATCTCCTAAAAAAAAAACACACACAAAACACAGAAAGAAATCAAACTGATGATTGCCAGATGGGGGCTAGGGGATGGGTGATAAATTGGCACGCGGACAAAGGTTACTACAATTAGTGAGATGACCACATCGTAAAGTATGCAAATGTCAGATCACCGTAGTGTACACCTAAAACTAATATACGTAATATAATTTTGTATGTAAAATAAATAAAATTTAAAACCTAGGTAATACATGTTTACTAAGTATTTTCCTAACTTTTGAATTAGGTTAAAATTCGCTCGCTCTCCCGTCGAGTCCCCCTGCACCTGTAGCTCAGAACACACGCTCACAGCGTCGTTGCTTTTCTCCCGTGAAATCTGTGAAGGAAGGAACCCTGACTCTACCTTCTCCATCGCCACCGCCCCGAGGCCAACCGCCCCCAGGCCGGGGCTCGGCGGGTGCTGGGGACACAGTGCAGGCGAAAGACACCGAAACACACAAGACCGTAAGGATAACGACCACGCAACAGGGTGAAATGTCAAGTTCACTGCCAGGCCTGGACCCCCCACAAAGCATCTTACCAGTGAAGTGCCGCGATGACGCTGTCCCCCACGCCGGCGTCGCGAGTCATTCTTCAAAGCTGGGCCAGCACGTCGCCGAGACTGACATCCCCTGAGGTACAAAAGCCGCCCAAAGGGCGGCTAAGGGCGAGGCCGGCCTACTGGGGACACTTCCGCTCTCTTGGAAGCCGGGGGGAGCACTGCGACTTCACCCCGCGGGACAGCTCCGCGGACCCGGCCACCAGCTCTGCGACCCTCGCTCCTGCCGAGTCGGCCTCTGCCCGCGGAGGGGAAGGGCAAGGGACAGGGTGTCCCACCTGGCACGCTCCACCGGAGCCCCTCGGGTGCCAAGGCAAGGCCAGCCCAGCCGCCAAAAAGCCGCCGTTGAAAATCCGCAATTCACTTGCTAGCCGCCGCCGCCGCCTCGTTTAAAATCGTTTCCCGACTCACACTGCGGCCCGACGCCGGAAGCCTCCCGGGCGCCGATTCCAAGTCAGTGAAGCAACTACGGTCGCCATTTTTACTGAGGGCACGTTCGAGCAATCTAACCATTAGCCTCACGTTTGAAAGCGCGCGGCGACGGACAGCGGTTTCCCACCGGCGCGAAGCTTTCCTTCCAATTTCCGGCCGCACTAAGCATGGCGGCGGGGCCTCCGCTCTGATTGGTTGATCGACCTCACCGTAGTCTTGGGAGGTCGCGAGCGCTTTGAGGAGTGCTTGGCTCACCCTGCCGCTTACCGGGAGAATCGGACCCTCACAACCGTTTGGATTTGCCCTCTTCCTCATTTTGAATATCCGAGGTCGGCGCCAGAATTGGAACGCGAGGCTGGGTTCTCCCTGTTTCCCGGTTCTGCCTTTGGGGAAGCGCGGAAGGAAAGGAAGGGCGTGCGCTTGATGACCGGCCCCTTCAGTCTCTCCCTGGGCGTGGGGTTCCCTCTTGCGCTGGTATGAGGACGCGTCCTTGCACATCTGGCCGCAGGTGTGTTTGTTAGCAGAAGTGGAAACTGATGCATGGAGAAGGGGAGAAAAGTCTTTCTTCTACCCACTCCCCAAGGACCCCAAAGACCTTGTAAATCGATCCGGTGTCCAGACACGTGTACTTGAATGTTCAGCGGAGAAGGGCTTAAATACTGGAGCAGAAGGTGGAAACTCCTAGCATTCTAAGGGATTTGCGTGTATTTCCAAAAATGATCGTTGACCACCGTCCAGCACCGGCAGTGTGGGATCCGTGAACGTTTCGCCCTCCAGCGGCTTCAACATGTTCTCCCGTTGGTTACCTGGGCTAAATAGGGGTTTGGCCACACCCACCGGAAGGATCGCGCAGCTGGTCGGGCGGTCTCTATCCAGAAGTCTGCAGCTGAGCTCACGATGGAGCGTTCCAGGTGAAAGCAGTGAGGAGCTCGTGACCTCCGGACCGCACTTTCTCCTGTTCTCCATTCCCCGCTAGTCTTAACTGGATGGATGGTCAAAATGTAAAAGCAGATCATTCACCCTCTTCCTTTCTTATACTATAGTGTGTGTTTGCCTGGAGTTTAAAAAGACCAGAAAATGAGCCACATAGATAGGATTTCAGTTAATGCTACTAAATCTCAAAATTTTTAAGTGTACATGGTGACTGTTCCACTTTCACACTAAAGTTAGTCACTGCACCATCCAACTTCCGTGATTCCTAAGGTCCTATTGGGTATGGGAAGGATCTGTGCTGAGCTATTAAGAGTAGGGTAATTTTAGGTCAATGCAAATGCTTGGTGATGAAAAAATTTTGATTTCCTAACATAAGGCAAAAATTTAAGACAGTTATTTAGTTGGCTTTTGACACATTTACCTTTGACATTATAGATTTAATAGTGATTGAATCAAATTACGAACTTAGATTTACTTTATAAATTTTATCCATGGACATGAAATACCTAAGATGATGTGACTTGAAGTCTTTATTTTTAAGCAGTTTGGAAATAGATTTTTAATCCTGCTTTTTTTCTTTTTTCTTTAGAACTCAGTAGCTTTGTTGCCCGGACCAACACGTGTGGAGAGTTGCGTTCTTCGCACTTAGGCCAAGAAGTCACCTTGTGTGGATGGATTCAGTACCGAAGGTAAATTGACGCAGACGGTGTAAGAATGCATAGTGTTGTCAGAAGAGTAAAAGCTTTGCAACTCCTACAAGATTCTCAAAATTCGTTAAGTTTTCCATTTTGTTTTGAAAGGCCCAAATAGTGTTACTCTGAGTAAGTACCACTAGCATATGTTGAAGGGTATAATAAGGAAGTGTGATCCACCAATGAACAGAAATGCCCCTTGGCTTACAAGGGTTGAAGTCTCCTGACAAGAAAATTCTGAGATGTCCTAAATTAAATTACTGCAGGTCAGAGGGTGAAGGAAGAGATAAAGGGGTTAAATTGGTTAATAGCTATAGTGCAAAACCAACAAAAGACTGCTCACACTCCTTAGTGCAGTGGTCGGCAAACTCATTAGTCAACAGAGCCAAATATCAACAGTACAACGATTGAAATTTCTTTTGAGAGCCAAATTTTTTAAACTTAAACTATATAGGTAGGTACATTGTTATTAACTTAATTAGGTACTCCTAAGGCTTAGGAAGAGCCACACTCAAGGGGCCAAAGAGCCGCATGTGGCTCGGGAGCCGCAGTTTGCCGACCACGGCCTTAGTGTATGTTGGAATTATAATTAACATTCAGGTGGCTATTTCTGAGATTATATAAAAAGAGTGAATAGCCAGGCCTGTCAAACCCCAGCAGCCTCTGCTTCTTGTTCACACATGAGCTTTACAGATTCTGCTGCTGTGCCCTAGGCCATAGTAGCCCTGCTTCACCTTCACCGATTCCCTTTGTCTGTAGCTAATGTTCGTTCTTTCAGAACGGCTACAAGCATGTCAGATGTGAGGCCGGCGGGCCCCATGCCTCATTTATTTAAGGCGTCACACCTTTCTCCCTGTTTCAGGTATAAAAACACTTGCAAAATTCAGGGATAACAGACATGCTGGTTTTTTTCTATCTAACCATGCTGCGCCATGCCCCAAGACCAGTCTTTTTTTGTGTTGTGGTTTTTGTTTTTTGGGGGTGGTTTTTTTTTTTTGGTATCAATGGCCTAATAAACACTTTCTTTTAAAAAGACTTTCAGGCACAGAATTTAACTTTTTATTTTAAAACTCCCAAGGACTAGTAATTGGGAATAGGCCAGCTAGTAAGCTCCAAGAGCATGAACAAGCTTATTTTATTCTAAATTTAGGTAGAGAACATGATTCTTTAAGATTAGAGCCCTTTTGTTGTTGTATTCTAGAACATTTCTGAATAATACAGTAATTCACATTGAAGAGATCCAAATATATAGTGTGACCTCTCTAAAGAATATGTCCTAAATGGATGGACATTTGACCCATAAATTTGTTGATTTTATCTTCTCAAAATCAGAGGAGGTGCCCAGCCAGCATAGCTCACTGATTGAGCATCGACCTATGAACCAGAAGGTCATGGTTTGATTCCCAGTGAGGGCACATGCCCTGGTTGCAGGCTCGATCCCGTGGGGCATGCAGGAAGCAGCAGATCAATGATTCTCTCTTATCCTTGATGTTTCTATCTCTCCCTCTCCCTTCCTCTCTGAAATCAATATATATATATATTTTTAAAAATCAGAGGAGGTTTTCTGAACCTCTTGTTGGTAGTAAAGACAATATGAAAAATGTAGATTGAATGCTAAAAATGTTGGGGTTTGGGGAACCTTTTGATGGTTTACAGAGATATTAAATTAGTAGTTGGACCTCCTCTAGAAAATTTTACATTGTATCTTTTTTTTAGGAAAAGGCTTTATATTGTTGTACTTCAAAAATGTCCAATCAGATGTTTTTAATATCCTAAAATATTCTCTTGGATTTTAATATGTGGAAAGTTTTCAAATTTAATAAAATTTTCTTGTAAAGACCTAAGTCAGTGATGGCAAACCTTTTGAGCTCAGCGTGTCAGCATTTTGAAAAACCCTAACTCAACTCTGGTGCTGTGTTACATATAGAAATTTTTTGATATTTGCAACCATAGTAAAACAAAGATTTATATTTTTGATATTTATTTTATATATTTAAATGCCATTTAACAAAGAAAAATCAACCAAGAAAATGAGTTCGCGTGTCACCTTTGACATGCGTGTCATAGGTTCGCCATCACTGATCTAAGCCAATGAAAGTTAAAACATTTTTTTAATCTTTTCATTAATAAGCCATCTGGATAACATTAGTAAGCTGAATATCTATATATATAAAAGCCTAAGTGACCGAATGACCAGTCACTATAATGCGCACTAACCACCAGGGGGCAGACACGCCACACAGGAGCTGCTGCCTGGTGGTCAGTGAGCTCCCACAGCCAACCTCCGTGGCCAGCCAACCTCCTGCGGTCCCTCCCCCTGGCCAGCCAGCCCCAATCGGCCCTAATCACCACTCAGGCCGAGGGACCCCACCTGTGCATGAATTTGTGCACCAGGCCTCTAGTATAGCCAATAAAAATTGAAAACAAAAAGAAGTTTTTTGGGTTTTTTTCATTAATAAGCTACATAGAGCCCTGGCTCGATTGGTTGGAGTGTCATCCCATATACCAAAAGGTTTCGTGTCAATTCCTGGTCGAGGCACATACTGAGGTTTCAGGTTTGATCCCTAGTCAGGGTGTATTCCAGAGGCAACTCATCAGTGTTTCTCTCTCAATGTTTTTTTTTTCTCTCTCTCCTCCTTCCTTTCTCTAGGTGAGGATTAAAAAAAAAAAAAGCTACATAGAAAGTTTCATGACTATCTATATATATAAAAGGCTAAGTGTCTGTCCATCCTACCAGTAGCTATGATGTGCACTGGCCATTTAAAAATGAACAGCACCACAGACCTGGCGCCGACAAACCAACACTCAGCTTCCCCCAAATGGGACACGGGCTCCACCACCACCCTGGAGCAACACCAAATCACAGCCAACGCTGCCAAGACCCCATGGCGCAAAATGCAACCCACAGCCCAGCCCAGCCCAGAAACGGTCACTGTGGGCTCGGGGTAATAACATCACGTAGCAACGCCCAGCTTCCTCTCCCTAGTGACTAGCATCCTTGGAGTTTCTTCAGCCCAGGAACCCAACTTGCTTTATAGCCAGGTGCAAACATTTTATAGTTTAACCAAATGTTTGTGAAGCTTTTTCCCTTGCCTCATCTCATTTGATCCTCACAGAAGTCCTGGAGTAGGTAGATAGGAGACTCGGTAGAATCCTATTTTTTTTTCATTAGCAAGATGCGAATATCGATATTAAAATATCAAAATATTTCTTGTAATTAATTTCCTTTCAATGTGCATTATTTATTATAATAAATGTGAGAAATTATATGGATCTTTTCTTTGTTTAGTTTGCTTTGCCTGCT